TGTTTCTCTTGTCTCCAGGAAGGCTCTGCTTCCGACTTACATATACGCTGTGGCCGTGAAAGATGATGAATCTTGTGACAAGATTTGAGTAATTGCAGTACCTGGATTAGATATTTCTTGCTATACTTTCAGTTTCATCCCATGCCGAGAGGATAACTTGGAAGGATGTGCTAGCTAACTAATTGTAGGTTGAAAAATTCAGTAGGAGGCAATGCATGAGTTTGAAAACGTTGCCGAGGATTTCGTCTTCGGAGCACAGGGTTCGGCCTTCCATATTTGTTTCAGAAATCATATGAATATGCTGCAGACGAGGTTTTAGTCACTTCTTGAGGTTCTAGCGGTAATGCTATTCTTTCAACTTTAAGCTGATAACAGCAGCTCTATCCGTTTACAGAGCACAACGAGTAGTTAGGAAATCGCTCGCAGGCTATTTACCTTGTTTATCATTCTGAAAGACACGTGATCATTGATAGCTTGAAGGGCAGGGCCACATCTTGACAGCCATTGAACTGGAGGATGCTTGGATGCTACAAGGTGGTCGTTAAGAAGAGGTTGATGGGCTCGCCTCTGACGGGATCTCGGTGACATGCTTGATACGCCGGACAAAAGACGGGAATGAAGGAGAGGATGGAGATTTTCAGTGGCGTCACTGGGTCACGGGGAGCTCGTGCAAGTCTCGACCCTTGGCGTGGGTGGAATCGACGATTAGTGGCGGAAGTCGGAGGGAAGAGGCCGCGCGACGGACCGAGAGTGAAGGTGATTGTGTGTGTTATCACGGGGAGTTGAGAGACTGAAACCAATGGTGTCTTAGCTTGTATAACTGCTGCCTAGGGTGTCTGTGACTCAAGGATACTTTGTTTGATCAAGAAAATCTCGAGTAAATATCATAAGTTTGTTTACAAGCGAGTGACTAACGGCTGTCGAAGCGAACATGATGAATTCTCTGATTCTCATGTATGTACGTAATTAGTTGACCCTTGTTTCTGGATGTCGGGGAGGTCGGGGAGTTGTCGAGGCCCTTGATGGATCCGATGACCATCAACGCCAATGAATGTAGCCGATGACCGATGGCCGATGATCCGTCCGGTCTCCATATAATTTTGGGGGGAATCGACTTCAAACCGTCATCAAGACCCTTTCTATCCGGGGGAATGCATGAGGATAGAGCAATAAGTTATGGAGACTATAGAAGAATGAGGTCAGAGTATTTCGAGTCTGTATTGCATCAGACAGATATTCAATATATCATCATATTCATTATGTGCAAATGGAAGTCCCCGATAAGTACGCCGACGTCCCGACACCCGGAATCAGAAATCTCCACTTGAAAGCTAGACACTACACTACTCGGCGACTACCGACAACCGTGACCGTGAGAGAAAATGGCCACCCCGGCGGCCGAGAGTCTCGTCTTAGAGCGCAGCAGCGCATCCATCCATCCATGGTCATGGTCAAGGGGTGAGCGAGTCACGACCGATTTTTCTCGTTCCCTTCTTGACATCAATCAATTGACGACCCGACCCGCAAACTGTCAATCTCCCCGTTGCTTCAACCTCCAAAATCAAAAGGAGACAGAGACCGAGACCGACGACCCGAAAGGCCACAATGACAAAGTCAAAGGCTTCTTCTCCCGGGTCATCGGCTTCCGCTTCGGCCACCCGCCGACAACACGCAACTTCTGCCACTGCCAGACCCGGAAAAGCGAGGTCTCTAGCTTGTCGACAGTGTCGCGATCGTAAAATCCGCTGTGACGGTGCTCGACCTGTCTGCGATTCGTGTTCACGACGCGGTCTCTGTGCTGATCAGTGTGTTTATCCTGAGATTGAGCATGAGGGCTCCATCGCTTCGTCGCGGAGGTGAGTTTTGAGTCAAAAAGCCACCGTCATCATATCATGTAGATAAGAAACTAAAACTCAATGATAGCTACATCCGTGCTCTCCAGAAGCGAGTCCAGGAACTCGAGGAGAAGGAGAAGCAGCTAGTAAGTCTTTTTACAACAAGTACCTTAACTCATATTCCCTACGCTCAGGACTTGCACTCATACGCCCTCTAGGAATTAGTAGCTCACGGCCACAATGCCTTCATCGCTACGACGCCTGCGCAAGAGGAACGGAGAAAACTATCTACGTCGCCCAGTGTTGTGTCTGAGCGTATAGCCAGACCTCCAAGACATGTTGACCATGCTCTTCCTCCGATTCACACTGACTCTGGTTATTCTTTGCTCAGCTTCTCTTCCAGAGCTGGTTCACTACCTGTAGTTCACGAACCAGTCAGCTACTACTCTCGCCCACATCATCTCATGGGCGCTAGTCCACCATTGACAGATGATCTCGAAGATGCTGCTCCAGCCAAGCCTTCATCTTTTGGCTCCTATTCTTCCAATGTCAAGGCGGCTTTGATGCTCCAGAAGATCACTCTTCCGCCAGCAGACCTCATGGACGAGTTATTAGCAGAGTACTTCAACATTGACTGGATCGCCATGCCTGTTATTCACCGACCATCCTTCTACCAGCGATATCATCGCCTCATCGCAGTTGCAAACTCTCGCTACCGCCGTGACATTCCCCTCGAGGAAGCCACCGAGCTCGCAGCCACCTACTCTCTCCTTTTAGGAATGCTAGCCATTGGTCAACTTGCCAAGACATCGGTCGCAGAATCTGTCGAGTCGCACGTATCTCACGCCTTCGAATTTCACCAGCAAGCCAAGACTCTTCTCCTCGTCGACCTTCTATCCGTGTCATCTCTCCCCGTCGTCCAAGCTTTGATTGTCCATGCTAGATTCTTACGACGAGCTGGTGCGGTTCAAGAGAGTTGGATGTTGACTGGCATGGCTCTGCGGCTCGCAGAAGGTCTCATGCTTCATATCGATCTCCCAGGAAAGGCACAGGCCGAACGCGAGGAACGGAGAAGGACATGGTGTGCTTGTGCTCTGCTTGTCAGGATGCAGAATTCCCCTGGAAGCCAAACAAACCCATCATTTGGCACGTTCCCCCAGGAAATCGATGACGAATATCTCGAGGCTTTTCCTCACAACCCCGATCGAGTTCAACCCTGCGATACCCCTTCACGACTATCTTTCTTCAACCAAACTTTGAAACTGTACGACGATATTCTTCAGCCTGTCCAAGATTCTTTCAACCACAAAACAGATTCTGGTAAAGAATCGATCTCTGATATTCTATCTGATGCACTGAAGTTGGACTGCGATTTGGAAGAATGGCATGCCGCTATTCCCGAGCATCTGCGCGTCAAGTTCCCCTGCACACAACCCGAGGCTATTTTCCGTCGCCAAGCAACTTTGTTGCGCATGAGGTATGTTGATGAACTACATGTCGAGACATCATGAGCTAACAAATGACAGATATCTTGAGACCAAAGCTTTGATTCCCCGAATAGCAATCATGAAGCTTATCAGCAGCAATGCATCACAACCAACTTCAATAATGGCAAAATCGATGCTCGCAGGCCTATTCGAGTCATGCTATGCTGCAAGCGTGGAGCTGGAAGATATCATGGCTCGCGAGAGGAGATTGGTGACTTTTGACGGTCCTCCCGAGAGTCACTCTGCCATTGGTAAGTCAAGACAACCTTCTTCTACTACGATATTTATTCTAACTCTCATCAGCCCTTAGCATAATTGGCATGACCCTCACCGTCTTGGTCCAACATCATCTCTTCAGAGACATAATCACCAATCCCGCCCCTGTAACTGAAGAAGCCACACGATGCCTCGCAACAGCCAAGCAATACACCACTTCAACACACCCGCTCGCCGAGCGATTTGTTCATACTCTCGAGTCAGCCTTGCAGCCTCCATCCCGATGTGTTTCTCCCCGCGGAGTCTTGGACCCTGCCCTCGAGCCTAAGACTGTTGGGCCTGTGCTGTCGAATTTGACCGAAGCCCCTGGGGCTGTGGAGATGGCCTTGCTAGAGGCTTGGTATATGGGGAGGCAAGATCTTGCTTCTTTGCCTGTTACGGAAATTGTTTCTTTGTGGTGATTGGCTATATATACAGCTATATATGGGATTGGAAAAAGGTTAGGCGTTTTTATTTAGCTAGCGAGATACCCCCAGCATGAATTAATGGAATGAATGTTATGTTGAATCCAACTTGATCTAATTGCCTTTGGTGTTGTGCTCTGTTCTGGCTGCCTCCAGAGGCCGTGGCCAACAGGCCGGTATAAGTGGCCGGGGTGGACTTTTCCAGGGCTTGCGCATTTCAAGGGTTCTCGTCTCCCCTGAGTTATCCTTTATATGAAAGAATTCGCATGCGCCTCTATAGATCACATCACGCCAGCCCTGCTAGTTACAGCAGTTGGCCAAAGTTTTACAGGGGTCGACCAACAACTTGAGAGAAGAGACAACAAAAAAGAGCCCGCATACAGGGCCTGTTCTCTAGAGATGAAACTCCACGATAGTAGCATGGCGCAGCTGTCGGAGGCCGACCACCCCATAACAGAGGACAATTTCTTTGAAGATCAAATCTGATAGGTGCCTGCAAGGCAGAATCTGAGTCTCAATTGGTTCAATTCACACATCAATTTGGGCTGGTGTTTCGGTGAATGCAGCATTCCGCCTCCAGTTCATTCACATACTTAGTATCAAGGCCGCAGATTGCACCATCACATTCCATAGCATGAATAAGGCAGAAATAACATGGCCCTCTACAGGCTTTAGAACTGTATTAAATAGAAGCGTTGAAATTGTTGGGCCCTGAGGAAGGGTCTCCTTTAGGTGACCGTAACGTACAGCTGCCAGCCACTGCAAGCACCCGAGAATCCTTGGGTTTCTATCTGTGAGTGATTCATAGGGCTCTAGTAAGAGTTCAGCAGACAAGGTATAAATTCTTCTCTCTCCCCAGGCTCATCTTCTTTTCTCTTTTTTTTTCTTCCACCGCTAAATTCATATGGTGGCCGTTATCCCTCCCCTCATCATACGCAACCTCAACAAGTCAAGCGACATACAGTATACACTCTTGCAAAGAACTTCATCTTGTCAAGATGACTACCGCAAAGACTGTCAAGTCCGAGCAAGGACTCGGTAATCGAGCTCTTCTGGACAAGATGGACAAGCTGCGAGAGCTCGGCATCTCCAACATGGTGCCGCTCCCTCAGGTATGTCTTTCATGTCACTTCGCAGCGAACATTTGCAGCTGACGTCAATATAGATGGTTGTCGTTGGTGACCAAAGTGCTGGAAAGTCCAGTGTTCTGGAATCTCTCACTGGATTTCACTTCCCTCGCTCGGTGACTCTCTGCACTCGCCATGCAACAGAGATCATCTGTCGTCGTGAAGAAACTGAGAGCATCGTTGTCTCTATCCATGCTGTCGATGCGGATGAAGAACAAGCAAAGTCCTTTCATCGCACTGCAACTAACCTCGATGCCGAGGAGTTTGCTCAGATATTTCAAGATGTAAGTGACATATTCTCGTCGCTTATGGTATCGTCTAACGTAGTCTTTATAGGCTGCCAAGGTGATGGGCATCAAGTCTGAGTCTGGTGATGGCTCCGCTGGCTCTGCCTTCAGTCGCGATGTTCTCCGCGTCGAAATCAGCGGCCCCAACGAAGATCACTTGACTGTCATCGATGTTCCTGGAATGTTTGAGAACGTCACTCCCGGCGTCACCACCAAGGAAGACATTGAGCTCGTCAAGAACATGGTACAGAATTACATCCAAGAATCACGCACCATCATCCTCGCTGTCGTTCCTTGCAACGGCGACATTGCGAACCAGAAGATTCTCACCTACGCCAAGGAAGTCGACCCTGAGGGTAAGCGAACTCTCGGCGTTCTCACGAAACCTGACCTGGCTGTCGAACAAGCTACAAAGGGTGTTGTCATTGACCTTGTGAACGGAAAGCGACGTGATCTCCAGCTTGGATACTGTGTTGTGAAGAACCGAAGCGCAGATGATAGTTCTTCCAGTCCTGAGGAGCGAACTCGCGCTGAGAAGGAGTTCTTCTCCAAAGCGCCTTGGACTACGCTATCCCCTGACAGACTTGGTATCCCGGCGCTCAAGGTTCGTGTCCAACAGCTCCTCATGGACCGAACCAAGAGCGAGTTCCCCAAGGTCCGCACTGAGCTCGGTACTAAGCAAAGGGAATGCGAGACGCTTCTCAAGTCGATGGGTGAATCTCGTAGTACTGAGGCGGAACAACGCATCTATCTTGGACACGTTGCCGCTCAGTTTGTACAAATCAAGAACTTCGGCCTCGATGCGTATTACACGCGTCACAAGATCTTTGAGAATGAGGACTTGAAGCTCATCACCCGTATTCGTGAAATCAACGAGGGCTTTGGACAGGTTCTTTACGAAAAGGGGCACACGCGAAACTTCTTTGTATCAGGTGAGGATGAAGCTGCGGAGACAAATGAAACGAACGGTGCTACCGATCATGAGGAATATGAGGACGAGGATGTCAAAAGAGGAGAACTGTACAACCAGACGACTTTCGCTATCCCACTTCTTGGAGAAGAGGATCTGGTTGATGACATTCTTTATGATGCCTATCACTGTCCTAAACCTCACGGAGAGGACATTTTGACCTACATCGAGAAGGAGTACCTAACCTCGCGAGGTTATGAGATCGGAACCGTAAGTCTTCGCTATACATTCACACAACAGCAGGGCTAACACTATTATAGTTTAGCGGTGAGATGCTTCCAGTCACTTTCAAAGAACAGTCCAAGAAGTGGCAGCCTATGGCTCGCGCCCATGTCTCCAACGCCATTTTGATCGTCCATCACTTCATCCGCAATGTTCTCAACGCGAGCTGTCCTGACTCTTCTATCCGCGAAGAACTCTGGGCATTTATCCTCGAAGATTTGCAGAATCGCTATCGTCGTGCCGTTGACCACGTCGAGTTTCTACTTGAGGTTGAGTTTGAGGGCAAGAGCATCACCTACAACCCAAACTTCAACGACTCTCTCAATCGCCTCAAGTTCTCTCACATCAAGGATCTTGGTAAAGAGGTTGAGGCAACGATTTTGAAGCCCTTGCCTGACAGTTACGAGGCAGCAGCTCAGAGAGCTCGTCAGCTTGTTGAAGAACATCTCGATCAAGAAACCACCCTCAACTCCACCCGACGGGACATTCACAATGTGCTCCATACTTTCTACGAAAACGCACGCAGTCGTTTCGTCGACGTGGTATGCCAACAGGTCATCGACCATTTCCTTCTGCACGCACCCAGCGGACCCCTTTCGGTTCTGTCTCAGGAAGTAGTCCTTCGTATGACAGCAGAAGAACTCGAGGCTATTGCTGGCGAAGACATGCTCAGTCGAGATCGTCGTGAGAAGTTGACCCGTGATGTGGCCAACCTGAAAGAAGCGCTCAAGGTTCTCCGCGGATGAATTTTTGGCAGACTAGACAACTAGACGAAGTTATTGGTCTTTCATTATGTCTGAGAAGGGTTAGAGAGGATAGACCGCGTTGTTAGACTTTGAGAGAATTGGGATAGTATTGAGGTTTTCGTAGATGGTCTGGCAGAAGAAGTCTTTTGTCAGAAGCTTGTAATAATAGACTGCGAATTCGAGTATCAGCCTTGTTGGTATTTAGTGCCGGTTACCATTCCCAAGTGTATCCCCGTAGACTCGTCGATAACAGACAAGCACAGTATCCTAAGCTTTAGGAGTTTCACGCTCATTATTCATATTCAGTTGAAGTGTCAAAGTCTGCAACTCATGAATTGGGGATTCTTTGTATTCGTTATTCATTCGTACAAGTTGCGAAGCACTTCTGCTCCCAATTCTCCAATGTCGACGTTCAACTCGACAACTATGCAAAAACAAACATCTAAGGTATCATAGTCTAAATTTCATTATTCCACCAACGCCAGAGATATGCGAATCATGCGAACAATACCGATTTTGTCCATCCAGATCATTTTGTCAAGAGACTGCCAACATCCTGAAGCTGGACCGAGTTCAACAGTGGAGGTGGTCCTCCTCTATCTATCCGTCCCCAGCCAGCTCCCCAAGTCGGCGGTGGCTGTGGAGGAGTAGATGAGGATGCAGGCGGGCCTGCTGGAAAGATTTCATCCTCTCCTGTACCAGAGCTTCGAGTGCTCAAAGCGATATCTGTACCGCTGCTCGACTTGGCCTTGCGGTGTCTTCTCCAGATGCGAGGTCTTCGAAGTCGGGATGTCTCAGCCATGAGTTCCGGTGAGGTCATGATACCAACACGATCACTCTTTCGGAAGTGGCTCATTCGGGATCTAGGATACGAGAATCCTGCAGGTTGACCACCCACAAAGGGGTTCCAAGCTCTGAGCTTTGGTGACCCAAGACTGATACTACCATTACATCCAGAATTGTAGCTTGTACGGGGCTCTCCAGAAAGCTCCTCCAAAGTCATGCCCTTGGTCTCCGGAATCAACAAGGAAACCAGAGTACCAAACAACATGAAAAGGGCAAAGAGTTGGAGCAGTCGGTGCATGTTTGGTGCACAATCGGTACCTTTACAACCCTCGGGGGATCCCTGTCGCACCATAGGAATGCTGATACCCTGCGCAATAATTGCTCCAATTTTACCCATGGCAGCCGAGATGCCATGTCCGGTCGATCGATATCGGGTAGGGAAACATTCGCCAGGAACGATGAAAGTGGTCGTGTTAGGGCCAGCATTGAAGAGAAACTGGCCAACAATGTAGAGCGCAAGTAAACCCCCTTGTGGAAGGCTCTTGTAAGCAAAGCCGAGGATACAGAAGATAATGGTGAGCAGGAGAAATCCGAAAACCTGTAGCGGCTTACGACCAAAAGTGTCGACGCTAAGAATGGCAGTCCAGTAGCCAGGAAGTGATCCAGCACATGTCAAAATAATCATTCCGACAGCTTGGTTGTGAAGCTTTTCGAAAAGGGAGTTGCCAGCACCATAGCCCACTGCTTGAAGGACAAAGGTATTATTAAGGCCAAGACCATAGAAAGCGAGGTCCTTTAGACGAATTAGCGGGAGTCAAGCAATGTCAAACAATAGCACTTACCAAAAAGAACCAGGACAAAGTTGTGCCTAATAGCATCTTGAAATTGGCCCATTGGCGGAAGAAGGAAATAAGATCAGACCAGGACGCACGAGGAACGTCAAGGCTACGTCCAGCTATGCGCTTACTCCTGACTTGATGAACAACGTCAAAGGAACCCTTGGACTTGCTCGCAACGTATGCTTTGATGTCGGCATCGGCTTTCTCGACGTCGTGCTCAACATCAAAGGTATATCGAGGGGTTTCCGGGATAGTGATACGGTAATAAAGGGCGGCGCAAGCAGGAATGGCTCCCACTCCAACAATAATTCGCCAGGCTCGGTCAGCGGCCAGTCGGCACTCGAAACCGCATTGGCTTTCGTCAGCAGCTCCAATAAAGGCGTCCTTGAAAGCAACAGTAGTGATTAGGGCAACAATAGCAGCTGCTAGCTGTCCAAGTCCCTGCATAGAGAAGACAGCAGCAACCATAGCGCCGCGCCATCTTGTCGGAGCGAACCTAGCGGGATCTCAGTCAGTTTGAGTTGATCAGGGCGTGTTAGGGGCTTGGTATAAACTAAACCCCAGCCACAAAGTCTGAATGGCAACATGACAGCGAGGACACTTACTCGGAGGTAATGACACTTGAGAGCGGGTAGTCGCCGCCAATTCCAATGCCCTGGATATAGTCAGGAAATGCTGAAAAACGCAAACCCTTTGCAGACTTACCATGATGATACGCCAAAAGATTAGGAGACCTGTCGATCCCATTGCAGGGCTAGACGAAATGAGAGCGCAGCAAAGCGTCGCTAGGATAATAATACCCAATTCAACACCATACATGCGGCGTCGACCAAAGCCACTATTTGAGTTATTAGTATATTCTTTTTTATGAAATGATCGATAAAGACGGGTGGTACTAACTCTGCTAGCCATCCAAAGACGATCATTCCCACTACAATTCCGGCACTCGTAGAGGCCTTGAATGCCTGGTTGACTGGATCGGGGAGATATCCATCATTGCCACTGAAGCCGTTTTGTGGGTTAGGATCACCCCAAAAGACAACTCCAAGTAGTATTGTGATGAGGTTGATGGCAAAAATATCGTAAGAATCAAGGAAGAAACCAACACCTGCTACTAATACAGCGCGGACATCTGATTTTGTCAGCATTGGCTCCAACAATAATACACAAGAATAAAATGAATCACATACGGTATGCACCAAAAGGGACTTTATCAATCTCAGATAAAGCAAGACGGCGGCGAAGATTTGGGTCGGGAATGTGAGAGAAGTCGTTGAAGAAGTTGTGAAAAGCGTTATTACCACCCCAAGTGCGATCCTGCTGAGAGCCTGATGCCGGGGGAGGCAGCATATCTTCGTCGTAGTCTGGCATTTTCAAGTTTAAGGCGAGTAAATATCGGGAGCGATGATATCCGTAATCGACGACATGGGTTGTTCTGTATGGGGGTGCTTCGGGATGAGTTTCGCGATACCGATCTCCACCTCTTCGGGTGCTGCTCCGTTAAGAGATCAGGAATGCATAGAATCGAGACTCTGAATCTTTATGAATTTCGCAGCAATTGACCCAGCTCCTTGAATTATTTCCAGTCCAGTCTGATTGATGCACTGATATCGTCGTTTCCCCAAATTATGATTCGTGGTTGCCGAGTTGTTCACCTCAGTTCGAAGATGGTGGTCGTTCAAGACGATGTTCCAGGATCAAGACCAAAACGTAACTTCCTTCTAATCCAATACCCCCAAACTAATCGGCGATGATTTATCGAGGGCAAGAGAGAGTTGTTCTACAGTTCAAGTTCGACATCGAATACCATGGATCGGGGTTTCGGCGTAGTTGACCGTCGGGGTGTGCGGGTTCGTAGGTGTCGAGGGGATGCGATAGTTGATGATGCAGGTGAAGATAAGGCGAGGCCCTAGCAATGTACAGAGAAGAAGAGGTAATAGAATGAAGAAAATATTACGATCTCACCAACAACAACAATGATAGATGACATGGGGAAGTGAGAGGATTCTAGACAGTTGGGATTGATAGAGAATAGGTAACTACGGCCGGATATAGCGTGCGAGACCGTGCTGTACCTTCCTTGTAGCGGATGGGGGATGCCCTGGGTGATGGATGGATGGGTGGTGATTTTGAGGCAGGTGCAGTGGTGGAGACGCATCTGCGCACGCCTTCCATAATGGAATCTCCGGCCAAGCCACTGCCCACTGTGGAAGCCGAGGAAGAAGCAAGATGGAAAGTCCACTGCACACCCACTCAAGTCTCCCCGAACCAGTAAGAGTTGAGGGTTCGATGCAGACCACTGAGATGAATGGAACACCAAGTTGCCCATGCTTTTAGAGAGCCCACAAGGCCCGCCTTGTTCGAAGCAGGTCATTCTCTTAACCACCTCCTCCTTCGAGCATAGTATATGAGGCCGTACAGGAAAAAAGGTCCAGCTCTAGAGAGGCCGATAGTCCATCTTGCTCAGGTGAATCTCAGCCCAGGGTTTCATACTCAGCTAGAACCCCGTCACTTCACTCCAGACTCAAAAGAGACTCCCTTTTCAAGCAGATGCACCATTGCCCATCCCCTGCAATCCACTAAGTCAGCAGAGCCAATTGGGAGGCATCGGAGGTCAGTGGCCAAACTCGCCCTGGTGGAGAGCACTCGAACCTAACGCCCGCGTCTTACACTGAGATGGCTGCCCCCCACTTGGAGGAACAGGGTCGTTTTTGTGTGTAGTGAGTTTCTGGGTGTGGTGAGATTTGGGGATGTCATTACAGAGTCTATTCAATAAGAGGCTTGCATGTCAATTGAGGCTATTTCGTGATTATTCCTACGCAGGGACATCTCGACCCTGGTTTGCTTGAGCTTTTTCAACTTCCAAATTTGACGCCGTGTTACAGAAATTAGATGTGATGCACTCCGTCAGACTTGACTTGTCAGACAAGGAAGACCCCTTGGCCCCTGTTTTTCCAGAACAAATCACTGACAAAGCTTGTGCCTAAGGCATCGAGCCATGTGTTTTCCTCAGTGAGCAAGAAAACTTGTGGCACTAAGCTAGGATGTCAAAATAAATCAACCTCAAGACTGACTGAGATACACTAGCCCTGCCCAAATACTTTTGTCACTAATTCAACTTTTCTTGCCTCCCCTTGCATGGGAAGGCTTCCAGAAACAATAGAGTCGTTCCATGGATCCATCATCCACATCATTCCGCATTGGGTTCACCACTCAATCTCACCGCGGTCACTTGGTCGCAGATCTCGCCGAACGGCAACTTTCATGATTTGACCGGCGCTTCTTTCACTTCTATTCACGCCCTTTGATCGACGCCGTGTGATGATGGATGACCTGAATTCGTATACATACATCCGAAGGTATCATCACATCAATGACGATGGATTGAAAAAGATCGGCAATGTTATCTGCATCACACTCACACAAAAACATCTTTATCGAGCTTCCCCTCACCTCGTGTCGAGGCCTATCAACACGTGCAGTCCGTCAACAACACTGATGACAGGAAAAAGCACCGAAACGGGCGTATTCTCTGCGTGCTTGTACGTAAATGCTACACATTGTGCAATCTGCCCAGACAAATACAGTGGGTTTATTCCCTTACACAATCGTAAAAGAGCCTACGGACGGCTTCCGGCATACGACAAGATCACTCCCGACTGGGTCGTGCACGGCTGCTGTCGTCGCATGAAGAAACATGGATAGCAGTGTAACACGATAAACGTGACTCTGACTCTGGCTTATCCATTACTCAACCATGTGAAACGAGGCCGGGTTTCCTCTTTCTGATTCTCCAAGAGAAAACAATGACAAGGGCCCCATCTTTTTGCACGTTTACTTTTTGTCAGTCGCTCAGAAGAAACTCCACCATATCAGCTTCGAAAATGCTTCTAGCCGCATTCTCAAGTTTGCCACGGTATGCATGGATCTCAGAAAGAACAATGGCTCTCGCCTGATATTAACGAAAAGAGTAACGCATTACGGGTCTCGTTGCTCTGTGCCTGGATTTGCTTTGCTAATTCTATCAATCTGCGACGCTTGCCGCTTGAAACCGTTACCTAAAGAATAACCTCTAGGCAATTTGCTACAAGATTTTTCTGTTAACTATACGATTTCTTGACTCGGGGCCAAGCAAGCCTCCCTTCAACCCCCATCGTTTTCAATCTCATCTCGGTCGAGAATGAATTCCGACCGAATCGGACCAACAGAGGTACAACGCCCAACGCTTATGGATTCTCAACCTCGTCTCACCACGTCCAGATTCTCGCCTCGTTTGCCTTTTTAACTTCTCAGCTCTTGTTTCGCTTAGAATTTGACAGGGGCCAAGGTCTGGTTCCTCTATCTAACTCAACCAATCGGTGCTCCACGTGTGTTTACTTTCCACAAGGCCCTCCACTGCCTAGGTTGTCACGACTTTTGTATTCTGCAGTGCCTCACTTTAAATGGTTTACGAATCCTTTACCTCATAGGATTATTGTAGACGATACCGTAGCGCTGAGTAATTCCTCTGTCAGTGGGCCGGTGGGCTATCAGAGTGTTACACGTCGAGAAATATCTGCGGTGCAGGCCCAAGTAGCCTAAGCGCATGTCTCGGTATGTAATTGGAAGAGCAGAGACAGAGTGCATCATCATAAGACATTGGTGCTTCTACGATGTTCTCTTGTAGTTGCTACATGTGATATAGAGCTAGAACATGTGCCGAAGATACTTCAAACTAATTCACATTCCAATCTCTCAGAATTGCCTGATAAGAGATGCCTGGCCAGCGTCTGGGCCTCATGTGAAGGGTTGAAAACCATTGCACCATGTTCTCATGTGCAGTGGCTCTAATGGTGTGTTAACAATGTCGTGTCGTCGTCTCAACCAACATCCAGTTCATAAGGGTTCACAACAACACCCTACGCCTTCTGCCAAGTCAGTCAAGGCTCCCGTAAGCCCGGAGTAACATCTAAATCTTCAAGCCCGTGTTTGTTGAAATGTGTATCGAAGTTAATTGCGGCACCCGACAGAAATAGATCCCTCAACGGCCATGACTCTCGAATCCAGTAATCAAGAACCTTCAATAGCCAGTAACACAGCTCCCGGGGAGAAATGCATTGAGCGTCAATAAGCGAAATGCTGATATTATTGGGTGTATCTGCTCAACTTTGTCCTGTTTTCATCAATCTGCATTCCAGGAATGTCACTCGGGACGGCCTCATGTTTTAGTCTCGCCGCCACCACGATCGTTTATCGTAGAACATAGAGCGCCATGTACTCGGTGGCTTCACGTCGTGAATGTGACAAGATCAAATATCGATAATTGTGAATACCATTGTGAAGAACATGGTGGCATCAGGGGGAAGAAAGTTGGCTAGTATGGCTAGCTAACAGACGGCACCACGAACAGCGAGTCCAGTTATTAACGGACATTGACTATTGATTTCAAGCTTCGAAGCTTGAACGCTTCTCAGACCCTTCTAGATTCTTTCATGTAGGGTCTTGAGACAGTCGACGTCTCTCCCTCAATGTCTCGCACACATCCGTGGACTCGCGTATTCCTGTATCGCTAGGCAGTGGATGCCGTTAATAAGTGGACGGGTAACATCGTGATGATCGACTCGGCACTTGTCATCGACTGCATCGCATGGTTCCATTGTCACCCTAGAACAACATGTGTGCGCGTTCTAGAATGCTCTGATGGATATACCCACATGTCTAAGTACCGATACAGAGCTCATCTTCAGTGCCGAAGCCTAGCATTGTCTTAACTAGAACGTGAACTGATAGAAGATGATCTTTTATGGCTTCTAGAACTTGGATTTTGTGGGTTAACTGCAATGGGGTCAAGTTTGCAACATCTTACGATGTTCATTGTGCACTTCAAACATCCCAGTTGCTGGCGTTGGTATGAGTCACTGCTTCTTCTCTCTCGTCCAGGGATATTGAGAACCTCAATCTCGATCCCACAGTAACAATAATATTAGACGAGCTTAGGATGTACTCGAGGTGAGCTTGGGAGACTTCCGATTAGTTATCTTTGACTCTCTTAAGGTAACTGAAGGTTTCGATTGTTTTGCTTCTCAGTGCTCCTGAAGCTCTACAGTTTGAAATCAGGCTCCAATGTGAATTCCTGCTAGACTTGCGCTGCCTGCCTAATATAATCGGCGATGTTGCATGCTATTTGTCCCTAGAAATCGTCACAAGACAGCTTGATCTGACATAAGATTCGATGAAACAATCACTGAGTTAGAAGACAACGCATTAACAACCCAATTGTGCATATTCGGACTCGTCATCATGATTTTCATTCTTGTCTAATTTTCTGAGGCACGACATCAGGCGCCATCCTAACATTACTCCAAGCACTACCACGCAGTAATATCCTCAACTTCAGCTTCTCCAAATGTGCTCGACTTGGTGATTTGTCCAACACTAGCCTCCTCGGGTGCTCCGCCATCCTTGGACATAATATCAGGTAGGACCTCCTTGAAAAATGAGAGGACATAGTTGTTGACTTGCTCAAACTGCAACAAAAATGCATCGTGACCCTCAGGACTGTCAATTCGCTCGAGGCGTGCATTAGGTACGTGCTGTGCAATCTCCTCCTGCTCAGCAAAAGTGAAGAGGCCATCGCTCTCAATGCCCAAAACAAGTGTGGGTTGTTGGATCATAGCTAGTGCATCTGCGATGGTGTCTGCTCGGTTGCGTGACACGTCATGCGTGTCCAATTTACGAGTCATGGCAATGTAGCAGTTGCTGTCGAATCGCGTAACAAACTTACGTCCCTGGTATCGTAGATACGACTGGGCGGAGAAATAGTGCGACTGAGGCAGATCTCCTCCAGTGAGGCTACCATTGGTAGGTCCATGGAATTGAGGATCCGCTACATCGGGCACAGCAGGTGACTCAGCAGTTGAGGCTGCATCAGTTGTGCTGTTCTGGCGAGTTATGGATGTACGCTTTACAACATGGCCGTCGTTGTGAATATGGAAGTGTGCCTCTGAGGGAGTTGAGGGGCGAGGTCGACCTCCAATGGTTTGAACCTTGGATGGGTCGGGGATGTTGCGTCCGAATCTCGACTCAAATGAGTTACGACTTCGATATGTGAGCAGAGCAGACATACGAGCCGCGCCCAGACCAGTTGAAGGAGGATCATCAAAGGCATAATATCCATCGTCGTACTTGGGGTCGGCGTAGATGCTCTGTCGTTGAGCCTCACCCCAGCTGATACCCCAAGCGCTGTGTCTGCTTGAGGTCGCGATAGGGACAATACATCGGATATAGTCCTTGCCAAAGTATGCCCACTCAAGCACAAACATACCACCCAGAGAACCTCCAACAACAGCAGCAAGTTGCTTCACGCCTAGATCATCAAGGATGAGCTTGTGAAGGCTGTCAATGGTTAGCCACTGTTTCTTGTTCAAACGAACCTGAACGCAAGTGTCGAGATTATAGGATCCTGAACTTACTTGACATCATCTCGAATTGTGGTAAGAGGGAACTCGGGCCCATATCGGCCCTTGCTTGGATCATTGTCCTTGGCAGTTACTGGGCTCGCAGTGCCATAAGGACTACCAAGACTGTTCATACAAACAATGAAGAATCTTGAAGTGTCAAAAGCTCGGCCAGGACCTCCGAGTAGAGGACCCCACCAGTCGCTCACATCGGCACTTCCAGTGAGAGCATGGCAGATTACCATGGCATTATTGCCCTCTTCATTGAGTTTGCCGCGAGTTGTATAAGCAACCGGTAGGTTATATAGTGTGACTCCGGACTCGAGAGTGAACTGTGGAACAATCGCTATCTGCTGCTCAGGAATGAGGGCAGAGAACGGGTTCTCAGGCTGTGATTGCGTTCTTTCTTACAGGTATTCAGTCACTGGTCTTCTAGAATGATGAGGAGAGAAGGCATGAAAGGAATGGGGGAAGAGAAGAGAGATGCGGAAGGAATCATGTCATGATAAAGGTAAATACTGACCGTAATGTTGACGAGAATCGCCATTTGTAGTAGTATTTTCAGCCATGGTCGCAGCTGGCATGATCGTATGAGGTTGTCAAAGTCTCTCTCCACGATATCTGCACTGATGTACTTCGTGAGAGGTTATACAAAAAGATCGGACCGGGGTCGCTCCAGGGTCTTAAAGTTTGATATCGAGGTCGCTCAATCTCAGAGTGACTCAACCCGATAAAAATTGGGACTTTTAGGGTATAGATATGTTAGTCAATAGTGCTTTAAAACTCAATTGTCCCAAAAGAAGTGATTCTATGAGTGTTTAGGTGAAAAAACCTGGGCCTTGCTATGGCGTAATTCTGGCTGGTCCCCATGAATGCCATGACTCAGCCAATTGAGATGCTTCCTTTGATGCACGAATTGGCCGGCAACGGAGGATGTGGCGATCACGTGCCGACGTGAGTCTGGGGAACGGTTCGACAATATCAAATTGATTATTTCCGGATTCAAATCAGGTACAATAGGTTAGTTTTCTATTTCGTAACTCAATCTAAATCCTCAGGCTCATCATGTCTATTGTCAACCCAAACCGGCTGTTATTCAATAAGTATTGAGCTCTTAAAGTGCCATTCAATCCTGAAACCGATGAGATGAATAGAATCCCAATATCCGTAGAGCGGTACGTACTGTTGAGTCCGCTGAAGGTGGTCCGTGCGGGCGCTGTGCCTGCCACTGGCCGACGGGCCTCCAGTGGTTGGCAGCCTCGTTTCCCCAGTAAAGGATAAGGCTGCCAAAACGTCGTGACATGTAATTCCATCCGTGCTTTTGCTTTGTTGGAGCTTCTTTGCTTTATTCCTTTCTTCTCAAACCCATCGCGACTGGGCTCACCCAACGCAAACAACCAATCGCACACGTATCTTGCTTCTTTCTATCAGGTCAGAAGATAATTGCGCACTCTTGTACTACTACCAACTTCTTTTCTTTCAGTCGTTCCCTTGTCAGCTTTGTCGCGACTATAACCTTCCCCACCCGAACTCCTTGTCGTCAAAAGTCAGTCTTTCTTCATCCGCGCCGCAGCTTTGATAGCAACCAATGCTGCTTCCTCCGCTATTTTCGGAACTCTCAACTCATATTTTCTCTTCCAGACCTTGACATCCATAATATCCGACATCGCAACATCATCACGATCATCTAATGAGATAGTCATCGCTTTCGGTTACGAGTTCATTATCGCGAGTTATGCCTCCGGGTAAACGAAAGAGAAGTGATCGCCATTCCGTTGAAGGCGGCCGATCTTCTCCCCATCGACCCGGTGATACCGCACTTGGACAACACGATCGCGACGATAACATGGCTCGTGGTCGTGGCAGAGGGCCTAGAGGTCCCGGCCGACGCGATTCATCTCAAGGTCAAAACCGAGGACCCCCAAATCATCAACAGAACCCTTCATCAACACAACGACGACCCAGCTCTTCTCATACACCACAGCCACCGGCGCCTCCTCCTCCTGCGCCAGTGATCAAGAGACCTGCCTATGCACCACCGCCGTTGTTGCGACCGCCCTCTCCGGTCCGTTCTAACTATCGTTATAGTCATCTTACGGACGAGAAGATTAGCGCTTGGGCTGAGAGTGGTCGGAATGCAATCATCCAGCATGGAAAGCAGTCGCGGGAAGATGTTGACATAACAGAGCTATCAAGCTTGTTCCAAGAGTTCGTGCACGCAGTTGTCGAAGCTCGATTACCACCAGCCGATGCAGGTGCCTGCGTCAAGGAAATTCTTGGTGACGAAACGACGGAGATTATTAAGGATTCATACGCGTTCGCTCCCCACACCCTATTTCTTGACTCCTTGTCCATAGTCATGGATAACGAGCCCGCCATTTACAGGCCGACTCTTCGCGAATTCGTCCTGTCATCTGGCGTGTCGTCCAACCTAATGCGACAAGTGCTCGAAGCTGAAGTTTTGCAGCGGATAGGACTCATTCGAGATAACTTTGTCAAACTTGGTATCAAGCAAGCAACAAACCTTCTATACCGACAAGCCAACTACAACCTGCTTCGCGAGGAGACGGAAGGATATTCAAAGCTCATAACAGAACTTTTCACAACTAGCAGTGTGACTCCCCCTCCTCCCGAAATGGCAGAACAGACCTTTGAGCGAATCAAGGCTCTTATCGGTACCTTCGATCTTGACGTCGGCAGGGTATTGGACGTAACCCTCGACGTTGCAGCTGCTGTTCTCATCAAGCAGTTCAAATTCTTCGTCAAGTTTCTACGAGTTAGCTCTTGGTGGCCTCGGTCTCATCTTAAATTCAGTGCCGCAGTCTATGTTGGTGGCTTACCCTTGTGGGCGACCCCAGACTACTCGCAATGGACAACGACGGAAGATGATGAGAAGCTCTTGGAGGAGAAGAAACGAGTGCGAGATATTGCTTTCTGGGATCGAGCTCGTGAAGTTCATATAGGGGCTTTCTTTGAGCTTGGTGGTCGACAAGTCGCCGATTCTGACTCGCAACAACTTACAATCACCAACGGTGTCGAGGGCGATGATGCTGCCGCTGATATTGAAAGGCAGTGGGTACAGGAAACCAAAACCCTCCCACCCCCAGGCAACAGAACGGCCGCACAACTACTCGGGTTCAAGTTGCGTTTCTACAACTCCAATGCTCGCGACCAGACAGATGTCCTCCCCGCCAATCTGTTATACTTGGCTGCTCTTCTTGTCAAGATTGGGTTCATTTCCTTGACCGACCTATACCCGCATCTTTCGCCAGCTGATGAAGACATGGAAACAGTCAAAGAAAAGGAGCTGAAGAGGATCGAGGAGGAGGAACGATCTTCTCGCGGTGGTCCGATGAACGCCCTTCTCATGGCTGGTGTCCTGCCCCAAGGCGACGACGATAACCCCAATAGCTCGAATATGCCTAGACGCGAACTTCCCAAGAAGGTTGAAGCAGAAACGAAGGAGGCTGCCACAGAGGCTGCAGACAACAAGCCAAAATTGCCAGAGCCATTGGAACAGAAGGTGGCATTGCTCACCCAACTATTGACCATTGGAGCTATCCCCGAATCACTATTCATTCTTGGCCGCTTCCCATGGATCCCAGAGGTCTTCCCCGAGGTCCTCGAAAGGATCCATCGCATCCTTCATCATTGCGTTGAAAAGGTCTTCCGCGACAGCCGACCTGTCGTTGTCGGCGAAGCTGGATGCCCAACCAAATTTGTTCCAGATTTCGACCAGTCCGGACTTCCCAAAGGCAGTGTTCGATTGAGCAGATTAACAATCCGCAAGTCTTTGAGGTGGCCATTCCCTGATAAAGTCGACACTAACGAATCGCAAAATTATCGATACTACTGGGACGAATGGGCCGACAACATTCCTGTTTGTCAGTCCGTGGATGATATCTTCACTCTCTGCGGGACACTACTCAATATTTCCGGTGTCAATATCGGCAAGGATGAGGCTCTGTTGACCAAGTTGGCCAGAATCGGAGCGAAGAGTCTTGCTGAGGACAAATCAGAGCACAATCTTACCCGATGGCACGATCTACTTCGACGACTGCTGATGCCAGCTTTGAGTCATACCAAGGCTAATGCTTCAGCTGTCAACGCTATTTGGGAGCTTTTAAGGCATTACCCCATTACCACTCGCTACTCCATGTACGCCGAATGGTTTGAGGGACAGATTTCTCGATTGCCCGCTATGAAGGCAGCTTTTGCAAAGGCCACGTCGGAAACAAGGGGCACCATGAAGCGAGTTTCTCTCACGAACTTGAGCGAAATGGCTAAGCAGCTCGCCAAAACCAGCTACTCATCTCCTGGTATCGTGTTCAGGGTTGCTTTCGAGCAATTAGAGTCCTATCCAAATCTGATCGATGCTTTTGTAGAGTGCGCCAAGTACTTTACAGATCTCTCCTACGATGTGCTTGTGTGGTCCTTGATGAGCTCTCTTGGCAAATCAAGGAGTCGTACTCAAGCTGAACACGCTCTCACTACCAGCAAATGGTTACAGGCCTTGTCAAGATTCTCTGGCAGAGTCTTTCGACGATACACAGTTCTTAACGCCACACCAGTCCTACAATATGTTAATCATCAGCTCATTCAGGGCAACTCCACCGACCTTATCATTCTAAAGGAGCTCATCACCTCGATGGGCGGTATTGTTGACTCGGTTGATTTCACTGACCTTCAAATTTTATCCATGGCTGGAGGTGAATACCTGCGACGCCATACTCTAATTCGCGGCCAGGACAAGCGATTCGAGAACATCAAGAGTTCGAAACGTCTCATCCAAGCTTTGACGGAGTCCAAACTTGCCGCGCAGTTACTCATTAACCTGGCACAGTACCGGCAAGCAGCTCTCTTTCATGTGCCGGAAGACGAAGCCCACATCAAATATCTATCCTCGATGATTGACGATTCGCATCGCATCTTGGTTCAATACCTCGACTTGCTCTGGAGTAACATGGACCCATCGACCTTCGACGACCTTGTTCCCTCGATTCCTGAACTCATCCATTCGTACGGCCTCGACCCTAGTCTGGCTTTTCTGATCGGCAGGGCCAGCCTTTCTCATCGCATGCATCCGTGGAAGCCAAAGAAGGTCGAGGAGGCGAAGGAAAAGGCTCAGGTCACACAATCTACAGACAAAGAAGGCGATGTTTCGATGTCTGATACGCCTGCTGCATCCGGCGGCAACGAAACACCCAGCCAAGAAGCAGTACAGGCTGAAGAACAGGCTGGTGCCCAAAACTCACCAGTACCGAACACAGCAACTAATTCACAACCATCACAGAAGTCGGAAGATTCCTCTCTTATCAAGACAACATTACAGCCGATTGTGGATGCCATCCAAAATACTGCCCGTCCTGAGACCTGGCAGAAGATTACCCCAGAGCTCTATGCGAACTTTTGGGCTCTTCAGCTAGGTGACCTCTATTGCCCAGACAAAATCTACAGACAGGAGAAAGATCGCCTCAGAGCTGAAGAGGTCGCTATCTCACGAGATCGAAGCGACATGTCAAGGCGTGGACAAGAGCGCAAAGTGGAAAAACGAAAGGAGCTTATGCAG